TGCCGGTCCCCAGCCCCGCGCGGCCGGGTGGGGTTCGGGTCGGCACGTGGGCGCAGCGGGGCCCGGGCCGATTGGGTGGCCGCAGCCTGGGATCCCTTCCCTGGACCAGGTTTTCGCGGGAAGCCGTTTCTCTCGCTCCCTAAGAGGGAGCAAACGGGACAGTCCTCTTACCCGGAAAGTTTCCAGCCCTCACTCTGCGCCCAGGCTGAAGTGGCGCCCCACCCTCAGCATCCTCTGAGCCATGGTTTCTCTCACGACTACCCCCATCAAGCCCAGGAGGTCCGTGGGCTGGCTTTGCTGAAGGTGGCAGGCTTTGCTGGGTCCGGCTGTGTGAAGGAGTCACAAGGTCGCCTAGCAGAGCCCAAAGGTGGAGGTTTGTAGCTGCAGGCTGGCTGTGCCCAGCACACCAGGTTCACGTCGTGGGGGTCTTTGGGCCTAGCCCACTGTGCTCAGAGCTCTCTGGGCGGTGGGCAGTTGGGAGGGTTGGTGTGAGGATGAAGTACTGATAGGGGCAGAAACCCTGAGTTCAGCTGTCTGCTCTGGGTGCCTTCCAGGGTGGCCCCTGTTGGCAGGGCCGTCCAGGAGCTGCCAACATGTCTGCTAGGACTAGTACTACTCCTCTATCCCTCTTCCTGGGGGAGGCTCCCATGGGCCATTGGAGGCCTCATCTGCTGTTGCTACTTACTCTGTTTCAGACTGGGTCCCAAAGCTTTGGGGGACGCCTTCCTGAAGGCTGGGGTGTAGGCATTGTTGGGGTGCTTAGTGTGCACGTCTGACCTCATGGCCACCCACAGGCTGGCACTCCCACAGCCTTCTCAGGGAAGCCTGTGCTTTCCACCGCTGGAGGGAGGCACAGTGTGGAAGCCAAGTTCAGGCCGACTTACCCTTTGCAAAGCCTTGGGAACCTGCCTGATGTGGGCTAGGTTGCCAGTAGAGGCACAAACCAGTGCTGCTGCTCTCCTGAGCTGTGCTCAGCCGCCTGCCCCCTCCAGGCTTTGGCCCTGGCATTTGCCACAGAAGTTTTAAGTTAGTTGGTAAGTGTTAAGTGCTTTGAAAGGTGCTTGCACAGAGGAAGAGGTCTGTGTTTGCTAGGAGTCATGTTTCCCCCGCACTCTATCTCTCCAAAGCTGCCCCATAATTCTAGAGAGGGTGCCTGAGAGGTGCCAACCATTGGGGTCTAGAAATTAACTTATGGGGCTTTTTCTCTTTGCTGGGAGCTGGTCTGGGAATACCCCCTGCTTGAGCTGAGGTGGCCCAGGTCTCTCTGACTTGTTCCCTGCTCTGCTCCTGTCTTCACTCCAAGTGCTCTTTGTGTGCCATCCCTCAGCATCCGTGCACCGGGCAAGAGATCTTAAGTTTCATTTGGCCCTGGGTCCATCAAGCAGTTGAGAAGAGCCACCGTTGGGGCCAGCCTCCCAGAGTCCAAGTTGACAGGGATTAGGAGGTGGGTATACATGCAAAGAGAATTTACTAGAGGAAACTGAGGCTCGCCTGCTTGGACTGTGGGCTAAGAGGCACCTGTTGCTGGGGAGTGGGTTGCTGTTCAGGCCAACAGGGCATCCTCCCTGTGAGTGGAGGCCCAGGCCCAAGAAGCGTGCGGTGCCTTCAGAGCTGCCTTCCCTTCCCTCCCTGACCCAAAGCAGTGACTTCTTCCCCACTCCTCAGAAATAGTCCCTTGGCCCCTCCACCCTCCCAGTCCTCCTTTACTCCTAGGATCCAGTTTTCTGGGTAGAACCAAGAATCTGTTGCTTTCTGGAATTGTAACAAATCCTGGAAATGACTTCCTGCTTCACCAGCAGGAGCAGAGAGGCCAGACCCCCTTTCTGTGCTCCAGCTTAACCTGTGGTCATTCTACAGTGAACCCCACAGCCTGGTATCAGCCCTACGTTAGGTGTCCACCCAGGCCCTGCCTGGGCACAGTCTTTGGGTCTCTCCTCTGAGAGGCTGCCCCAATGGAGCTGTGAATTCTACCTCTCTGAATGGCTCCAAAGTGTGTACCCTCTGTCCAGGGGAAGGGTCGCTTTACCTCAGTAAGACAAAAAACAGTTCCAGCCCACAGGCGATGGAGAGGTCTGTCTTTTTGAAAGGGACCCTCCAGATCAGCGTCCCAGAGTGTCCCAGAGACTGAGGGCCAGGTCTACAGATGGTGACCAGAGCCCAGCCAAACTCTCTGGCCCTTGGAGATGGACACAGAACTCTGGAGAGCACGCTATCTGGGGGTAAGGGCGAGGCCCCTAGAAATCTTAGAGGACCTGCTCCCTCCATCCTGACTCCTCAGCTGCCCTGAAGTTAGGCATTTCCCTGAAGTGCTAGCTGGTCCTCAGAGCCTTCAGGGACTTGACCTGAAGCTGTCAGTTGCCTTGAGGAAATGACTAGCGTAGGCAGGCTTTGGTGGCATTAGTTTCCTTCTCTCCTTTGTCACCCCTTCCCAAAAGTGCTCAGCGCTTCTGCAGTGTTCTGAGTGCCCCCCTGCCATGGGCTGCTGGCTGCCCCTGGCCTCAGAATCATGCCTGACCCCTACCACATTCTGTGTGTGTGTGTCCCCCTCCCACTGTGTGTGTGTGTGTGTGTGTGTGTGTGTGTGTGTGTGTGTGTGTGAGAGAGAGAGAGAGAGACAGACAGACAGACAGACAGACAGACAGATGCTCTTTATCCTACAGATGGAGGAAGTGGTCAGATGTGGCTACAAATGAAAGCAGTGTGTGATGCCTGGGCCCCAGCCAGGTGCCCGGGCCCCAGCCAGGTACCCTAGGGCTTCAGATTGGTGCCCATGAGCCCAGCAGGGGCTGAACTCTTAAGGGGCTGTGCTGGGTTAGTTGGTTTTCAGGCTGAGGAGGGACATCTGTCCAGACCTGCAGGTTTTTTAGTCTTGACCCCTTGCCTAGGACCAAGAGATTTTACATCCAGGTCACTGCCCTGTCCCTGCCCATCCCATCACCTCAAAGCTGCTCCGCAGAAAGAAGATGTGGTTTGCCCTAGAATCTGAAGCCCTGGCTTCTACCCCTAGCCCAGCAGAGCTGAGGGTGCTGCTGCTAGGGCCGAGGAGAGGAGCGGGCTAGCGAGGCCCTCAGTGTCCACCGGGGCCTTGAGTAGTGAGGAAGGCCTGGCCGCAGAGGCCCAGAAGCAGCTACAGTTGTTGGATAGTCCCTGCTTCTTGCCTGTAGCTTCACTCCAAAGCCCATGAGGGCCATAGGCTCCAGTATCTGCTTTTCTGGGGGTAGAGAGGGTACTGTGGGTAATGGTGGCTAGAAAGGGGACTAGGACCAGTTTGCAGAGTGCTGGGCCAGCACACTGTGTTTTCTGCCTTGCATCCAGACCCTCCTCCTGAGTGCGGGTCCCAAGGGCTGCAATATTTGCGTCTTGTGCCCACGATCTGCTCTGTTTTCTGCCTATGCAGCCTCTGTCAATATCTGTCCTTATAATGAAAAGGGACTTAGTAAATGACAAAAGTAGTTACCATTTATCAGTCAAGCACTTATTAAAAGCCTGGCTCAATAAACTTAAAAAAGAAAGGCATGCTGTACACTTATTTACATCACTTTGTGTAAACCTCACACAGCCCTTCCATTAAGCCCATTTGTAAATGAAGAAATGGAGGCTCAGGAGGATTAAACTACTTGGCCAAGGTCACACAGCTCTTAAGCAGCTGAACTGGGATTCATATCCAGGCCTGTTTCCAAACTGCAATTTTCAACCCAGTTTTCCACTGCTCCCTGAGCTCATTTCACCTGTCCTGTGGTTCAGAGGTGTGAAGGGGTTTGCTCAAGGCCACAGTGTCTTGGTGACAAAGTGGGACTGCACACTCTCCTGATTCCCGGCCCGCAGCTGTGTGTACTACCCTGAAACCCACATCGTGGCCTGCCCATCCAGGTGCCTTATCCCCTGAGTCCAGTTTTCTCAGTTTGGGCCGGGCAGGGTAGGGTTCTCCTCCTTCCTTCCCTTCTTCCGCGCCCGCTGCTGGCCCCTCCCAGCCCCCACCTCTCTCTTTCCTGATAGTAATTGCTTCCATCTGGCCCGCCCAGCGCCTATGCCTTTGGAAAGGCGGTTAGGCTGCCGCCCACAGGGCTGCAAGGCCTCATCCTGCAACCAGGGCTACATGTGGGGATGGCAAGGGGCCCCGTGGGGCCTGAGCACGGGAACCAGCCAAGGTTGCTGCTCCTGGTGCCTGACGTCCCCAGATTCTCGCCAAGTGGGAGCACCTTTGCTCCTTGCCACCCTGCTCAAGGTCGGAGAGGCTCCTCCAAGACCTGCTTCTGAGTCCAGTGGTGAGCTTCCCTTCTGCCCTTAGAGGTTACTCAGACCAGGAGGAGGGAGGCCTGGTTGGAAGAGACAGCAGGAGAGAAGTGGGGCCAGCGGGGTGCGCTGGGGACCCACTGCTCCAGGGTCACGGGAGGGAAGCAGAGCAGGGCACTCTTGGTGGCAGAAGCTGAGGGACCCTGGAGCTTGGACAGGTGAGACTGTCATGTTCACTGCTATATTCTTCATGCCAGAAACGGTGTCTGGCCAGTATTAAGTGCTCAGTAAATATTTGTTTGCTGAATGAATGGAACCAGCAAAAGTGGGCATGAAGTTTCATATTTTGTCTTGATATAAAATGGAACTTGCACATTTAACAGTGTATTTAGTGCTCGGTTGCCTCCCTTGCCTTGTGCTCTGCCTCAGCAGCTGGGGACAACACTGCCAGCTTCCTCATTGTGGCCCTCTGGAGATTTCAGGAGCCTGCTTCTGCTTGAGGGGCAAGCTCCCTGCCACTGAAGGTCAAGGTAGACCAGTGACCTTGACAGGGATGGTCCAGAGGAGATGCAGGCATCGAGGGGCACGTTTGTGGTGTGGAATGGGCTTGGGAACTTTTAAGGTGTTTTCTTTCCTCCATGAGATTTAAGGATTTTAGTGTGAGCTCCAGAAACCTGTCTGTCATGTTCACTGCTATATTCTTCATGCCAGGAATGGTGTCTAGCCAGTAATAAGTGCTCAATAAATATTTGCCGAATGAATGGAAGATGGAGCTTGGTTTTCACTGTGTTCCGGTTTTGCTTCCCCTTTCCTTGGAGAGAGGGGCCAGAGCATAGACACATTTCCATTGGACTCGTGAGCTGTTTGTCAGAGAAGGACCTGCCCCTATTTCAGACTCGGAAAAGGCAGGCGGGAGTCCCCAAGTAGGGTGGGCAGGAGTCTGCCCCCATGATGGCATGTCCTCCATTTCACCCACCCCGAAGTCAGCTGGTCACATTCTTGTTCCCGTCACCCTCTCTTCAGCCCAACCTTTAGGTTCTTGCACAGACTGGTCCTAACCTCACCTCCTGTCCCAGCATCAGAATCCTCTGTGACATGAGGGGGCCCTGTGCTGGGCTGAGCCCAGATGGACTGCAGAGGGGGCGACCGGAACCATCAACCACAGACAGGTTGGGGGGCAGTGCTGTGGGTGGTGGCTGGGAGGGGCCATGAGCTGTCTTCTTGTAGACAGGGTGTATCCTTTCTGGGTGCACAGCCTTAATACTTTTGAATGAGAGAGCATTCAGACAACATCTCAGGACCTGGAATCCAGTGCTCAACAGATGCCAGCTGGTGTATTTTATGTGATGGCATGGGGAGTTGGGGAGACAGAATGTAAAGTGTCTACACTCTGGCCCTAGAAAGAGAAGCAGGTGGCTGTGCCAGAGTCACTCCTGAGGACATCCCTCGTGTCCTCTCCGTCCGCTACCAGCTGCGTGACCTCGGACAGGTTTCCGACTTTATTGGTTTTCTATTAGCACATCTGTTAATTGGGATATTAGTATCTGCTCCACCTCACAAGATCGTGATGCACAAATGATATAAATGATCATAAGCTGAAAGAGGCCTTAGACCCTAGGACAGGACCTGTAACTGTGGTATCCCCAGCACCTGGCACCATGCCGGAACATAGTAGCTGCTTAATAACTATTTTTGCAAATGAGGGAGCTGAGCCTCAGAAAAGTAACTTGCTGTTCAAGGTCAGAGTGTGTCTCCTGCCAGATGGGACTGCCTCGGGAAGGATCCCGGTCTCTCGGCCCCTCCATTCCAACCCCTGTCCCCATTTCATTGCTTTCTCTGAGTTCCTGGTGTCACTCGGCCTGTCTGTTCTCTACGCCCCAACGATCCAGGATTGCTGAGGCTGAGGCCCCTGGGGCATGGCTGGCTTGGGATGGGGGTGTGGGGGCTGGTGAGCTGGGATGAGCGCCATCCTCCTACTCCTGAACTAGCTTTGTCAGGATGAGCGAGTGAGCCCGGGGTGGTAGGAGGGTGTTCACAAAGTGGGAGCCCGTCCCCACGGGCTGTGCGGGCTGTGCTCTCCACACCTCCTGCCCCTTTTCTCCCCTCGTCCCCTCTTTTGCCCTTTTCCTCACTTTTTTCTTTTTCCCCGTCCTTTTCTGCCTGCTCTCCCATTTCCTCCTTTAGATTCCGTCATCCCTCTTCATGTCCGCCTCCTTCCCCTTGTCTCCCATCATACCCCAGATCTCGGCGTCCAGGTTGTCCAGACAGTGGCAGCTAGACTTGGTGGGTGGGTGCCCTGCAGGGCTGTGAGGTTCAGGGCACCTGCCGTCATGGGTGGCTGCAGCATTTTCTAGTGAACTGGCTCTTTCAGCAGCTGAGTTTGGGGAAGGAGCACTGCCCGCCCAAAGGGTGGAGTGCTTTGATCCGCAGCTCAGCGCCCTGGGTCCTCACCCACCTCCTTACACATCTTCCCGGGCGGAAGGCGGGAGCTTGTCCTAGAGCCTGAGAGTCTCCAGAGAAGAGCTAGCCACTGGGGCTTTGCTGGCCCCTGACCTCTGCCCTCCACTCCCCTCTCTCCAGAGCTCCAGCTCTCTCCCCAGAGGTACCTGCTGGGATGGAGGAGGCTGGCCAGAGCAGGAAGGAGGTTTCCGCTCAGACGCCTTCCAGGTGAGCACACAGTGTCATTCTTGGGCTGATGTGTGTCTGTGTGTGTGCATGCACACTATGAGTGTGCCCGTGGATCATGTGTGAGAGAACATGGGCATGCGTCCGCGTGCGGATGAGAACACGGTGCACTGTGTGGGTACTTCCGCTCTAGGCCTGTCACCGAGCAGCCCTCCTCCTAGCCCAGAGCTCTCCTCTGGTCTTTGTCACCCTGGCTTTGCACTGTGGCTTTGTTCTGTCTTGGGGGCCAGCTGGTCCCCTTCTGTGGTCCCACACAGTGGTAACTGGTCCCTGGCCACCCATTCAGCTGCCTGGGGGCCCTGGGGCCAGTGTTTGCCCCACCCCCAAAATGGAGGCGTGTGGGGGCTTCCTGCCTGGCGTCTCAATGCTGCCAAGGCAGAGGGAATGGGGAACAGCTGCGCTGGCTGAGTCCAGCGCCGTATGGATATGGTTTGACAACAAAGCTCCCTCTGTGTGTTCTCGGGCCCCTTACATAACCGGGGGTGAGGGGTGGGGACAGAGGGAGGCGGGCAGGAGGAGGTGGAGATGGGGACAGGGAGATACCGGGTTGGGGTGGCTGGAGAGGGCACAAGGACCAGGAGGAGAAGGGAGGCGAATGAGAGAGAGAGAGAGAGAGAGAGAGAGAGCGCGAGCGAGTGAGCGAGAGAGCGAGAAACCATTGAGAAGAACTGGAAGAGGGAGGAGAAAAAGTGTTTGTCTTGACCCTGTAAGTCTACTTCCTGCCTCCTGGGGTGGGAAAGACATGATGTCCAGATCTTCTGACCTTTACCATGTTGATGTCTTCCTCTCCCTGAGCCCCACCTATAAACCTGGCCACGCTGAGGAGTGCCCTGTAGGACCTGTCTGGGATTGAGGCCAGATGGGGTTTGGGGATGGGCCTCGGAGGCTGTCCTCGGCCCTACCCTGTAACCAAACATATTCCATAAAGATGGGAATCATTCTCCCTTGCCCTCAAATGTTTGTTCCTCCTTCCAGGCCCCAGGCCCAGCCACCTTTGTAGTGCTACCCGCCTGTGTAGTGCTGCTAAGCAGCAGACTGTTGCTTTCCCTGCGCCCTGTCAGGCAGGCCCCAAGGCTGCTCCCTTATCTTCTTACCCAGAACCTCCCCCAGCTCCAGGACCTCAGCCCACACCCTTCAGAGGCCCACGGGTCCTGTGTCCTGCACTCCCAGCTCCCTCAGTAATCGAGCCTTCTCTTCTCACCATCGCTACCCCTGCAGCTGCCCAGATAGAGTGAGAGAAAAATGTTCTTTCCAGAACAGCTGGACTGACAGTCCAGGAAGGCCAGGTAAGCTGGCCAGGCTTCAGGGTGTTCTTGGGGTATAGGTGCCCTGTACTAGGACCCTGATCTTGTCAGCTCCCAGGTGGGAAAAAACAGACACTCAGAAGAGGCCAGGAGGATGGGTGGGGACTTCAGATGGGGCCAGGGCCCCTGTGGCAGCTTGGTCTCCTGGGTTTTCTCAGGGTCTGTGTCTTCTCTGTGACCTAGTTTCTCTGAGCCTATTTCTGACACCAGGCTTCCTTGGAAAACATTTGATTTGGCCCAGAGAGTATGCTTGTCCCCAGGCTACAGTGGGTGAACCTGAGAACTGGTCCTAAAAGGCCAGGGAGGAGGAGCCGCTGTCGAGGCCCCAGGTTCTTCTGGGCATGAGAGGCAGGACCCAGGGTTCTGGCACTGGGCTTGACCGCTGGCATACCTTTAATTAGGTAGATTTAGGGTGTCTGCCTAGGGGTAGTCTGTCTTCCAGGGCACTGCTCTGTGGCGAGGTGGTGTGGGCAAACCCAGACCTGCCGAACAAGCCCTAGACTCTGGACTCCTCGATCCCCGGGCCCGGACCAGTCCCATCTTGCCCTCCCACCACCTCCTTCGGTCTGGGTCCTTGGATGATTCGAAATTGCTAAAGCCTCAGGGTTTGATCTCAGCAGGTCTGAGGCAGGATGCTAGGGGAGGGCCTTGGAGTTTCCTGCATTGGTGAGGGGTGTGCCTTGGAATAGTCCCTTTCACCTGGATCACCCAGATCAGGATTAGGTGCCAGGACAGGCAAGGAGGATGGTGAGTAAGCACTGTGTGGGCGCCGGGCAGGATGCCCTCTACCAGGGCAGTAGCCTCTGCCCTCTGCCTGACTGTGGGCAGCCGAGGACATTCCCTTGCCCCCTGGGGACACCGTCTTCCTGCTTTTGCTTTCCTGTAGCCCCCCACCCCCACCGGCCACCTCCCCAAGTGCCTTTGAGGGACAGGAGGGGCTCTTCCTGGGAGCTGGGCTGGGCCAGGCAGAGGGCTCCCCTTCACTCAACTTTGAGAGTTGAGGAGATTCCCACAGGGCTGGTTTAGCCACTCCCAGCTCCTCTGGAAGCTCTCTGGCTGGTAGCTCCAGGGACAACCTGACAAACAAATGCAGCTGGAGCCTGAGCTGACTGGTGAAGGAGCCTGGTTGGCAGTGCCCTGCACCGCGGGATGGAGGAAGAGTGTGCCCTGGCAGAGGGGACCCAGCAGCCCCTAGAAGCTGTATGTTGGGGCGGGGGCAGTGAAGGAGGAGGGGTGGGGAGTGCATGCGTGTGTGTATGTGTGTGTGTGTGTGTGTGTGTGCGCGCGTAGGGGTCATCACATTCCTGTGCATTTGTTTTGCGGTGTGCCCCCATGTTTGAGCAGGGATCGGTGTGTTTGTGCACAGAGATAACATTTGTAGGTTTTTGACATGGGAAGGTCTGAATGGGCTAGAGCAGAGTTGACCTAAGAAGGGACTCAGAGTCTTCCTGGTGCCTTCTGGCTCTGGGATACGGATGGAGTTCCGGGTGCCCACACAGATTTGCCTCCTCATTGCTGCATGAGGGCTAGGTGAGCCCAGGGACAGAGGTGGCTCTGGTTGTCTCTGATAATCCGAGCCTCAGCCAGCCTTCCCACCCGCTCTGCCCTGGGCCCCAGGCCAGAGGGACCATTGCTCAGCCTGGAGGGTCTGCATCTTCCGCAGCAGCACCTAGAATGCTAGCCACCTCTCTCCTTCCCTCATCCTTAACCTTTACTTGGAGGAGAGTCCTAGATACAACTGGTTCATTAAAAAGCCTTACTGATGTGAAACAAGCTCAAAAGATTCTTTCCTGCTGGCTTCTCTATCCCCAGGGTACAGGCTGACACAGGAAATGGAGGTCTTGATTTCCTTTTTCATGGGATCGTTCCTCTTCTAGAAACCCCACCAGGTGCTCTGCCGCTTTCTTCCACCCACAGCAATATGCACAGCACTATTCCCCATTCTCACCCTGCTCACATCTGCATTTGCAGCCGCTCCCTGGCGCTAGCATCGCCACCTCAGCTCCACCTCAGATCATTAGGTGTTAGATTTTCATAGGAGCACTGGTCTCTGGTGCCAAAAAGGTCGCGGACCACTGCCCTGTACTGTCTCTGCTTGCGGACTTTAGGAGTACCTGCTCTGGAGAGGGGATATAACTAGCAGAAGGAACATTGCTCTGGAAATAAGGCACTGGTCAAGTGAGAGGGTAATGCTTCTGGAGCCTGGTGGGCAGTACCCTGCTTCACAGGAGGCAGGTAGAGAGTGCTTTGGCAAAGGAGACCGAGCAGCCCCCAGAAGCTGTGGAGAGGGGCTGCTGCTCAGCAGAAGGAGCATACCTCTGCCCCGCCTGAGGATCTGTGACCAAACTCTGTTGAGATGGCTGTCAAGTGAAACTAGTCAGAGAACTGGGTGCCGTTTCCAGGAAGGTGCTGCACCCGGAAAAGGAGAAAATGGTTTCTCCAATGTGGCCTCCTCCCTCTTCCCCACCCCATGCTCCTCCCCACCCAAGCATGCATCCCGAGTCTGGCCAGTCCTTGAGATCTACGGTAAGTGCAGGACAGAGTCTGGCTGGCAGGGCCCTGCCCCCCTTGGCAGCTGCATATGTCCCCTGTGGCATGTGCAGTAGACCTTCAGCCAGGAGGAGAGCTGAGTGTGTTTATGGTTGTAGGACCGAGTAGGGGCTGTGGTTTCAGACCTCTCCCTTTGCTAGGATGGGCAGAGCTTGAGGGGAGAAGGTCTGCCACGCACTGGGGGACGCCTAGGCCAGGAGTCACCTTCAGCTTCCGCTGGCCAAGTGCTGGCTCTGGGCCCAGCCTATACTAAGGCTGTGGGCTTTCAATCCTGGGATGTGTCTTGAGGCTCACACACCTCCCGGAACTTGCTCTTGCCACATACAGTTCACAGACGAAGAATCTGAGGCTCTGAGAGATAGAGGACCTTGTCAGGGGCAGCCAGCTTGTTACCACGGAGTCCAGGTCGACCTCAGACAGCTCACCCCAGATCCCTGGGTGGGATAGAGCGTAGGAATTTTGAGCAATGTAGACTGCTTGAATCCTTAATTCCTGACTCCACCACTTTCTAGCTGTCTGATCTTGGGACTCTTCGCTTAGTCTTTCTGTGCCTTAGCTTCCTCTTCTCTAAGTCGTAATAAAAGGGAACTACTCCCACAGTGTTTTACAAATAAGATGAGATTCTGCAGAACAGCCCAGGGGTCTTTTAAAAATGAATGCAGAGTGTTGCTCTTCTGTGGATGCCCTCTAGTGACTTCTCATGGGACCTTGATCAAATCCAAGGTCCTGGGTAGTCTGTGATGTCCTCCACCACCTAGCCTGCGTGGCCTTCCTGGCACCACTGTTGGCTCTTCCTCGCTGTGTCCAATCGCATTGGACTTCTTTCTGTCCTTCCCCCCTGACAAGCCTCAGAGTCTTTGCTCTCCTCTCCTCAGTCTGGAACCTCCTCCACCATCCCCTACCACCCAAAGAAGAGCTTTGCCCTTCTTTGCAAGGCCACCTTTCACTCAGGTCTGAGAGCAGAGAGAGGTAGCTGCCCCGGCCCTCCCTTTTTTACTGCCTTGTTTTATTGGCCTTATAGTGTATATCACTGTTATATAATATTACTCATTTGTTTGTCATGTATCTCTCCCCACATAGTTATACACTGTAGAGCACAGGCCTGTTTCCGTGTTTACTGGTATAGTA